CTGAAAGAGTGACCGCTGGCCTGTAAATGAGTGAAAACTGCAGAGTTCTGGCCATTAGACGTAGCTCGTCTGTGTTGGGACATTCTTTTGAACAAACAAACAAACAAACTTAGATTTATTTTTTTTACCCTGTGCCTAAAATAAATTTTATCCTGCTTGTAAATTCATAATGTAAGATCTATTTCAAAGTTGACCCAATTGTCTCCTTTATTATATTTAAATCCATTAAATGAAAAAGATATTCATGCAAGTGGTGGTTTTTGTCATCAATAACAGTTGAATGGAACTTGCTCAAATTATTTTACTAAATAAATAGAAGTGCTTATAATAAAACTAGTGCTATTATTAATAATTTTACCATAGGTTATTTTAATATGACTAAAACAGTGACTGTGTTGCTGTGATGTTTGAAGCCCTGCTCTTCACAGGACTGGCTCAATTAAGCAGGCAGGGATGCGAGCGAAATTTATCGAGCATTAAACATTTCTGCAGGAGGCAAAAACGCATCCAGAAATAACACGAAGGCGTTATTAAAGAATGTAAATAAATAAAAAAATAAAAAAAATACGGCGTGTTCGTATTTAAGTCACACATTTGTTTGGTTTCCGACTGAACGCGGTTACTTCCGGGCTGGGTGGCACGGCCCAATCCTCATCAGCGGTTGATTAAAGGCGGTGGGGGCAGGGATCAAACGAGCCGCATCCCCAAGAGTCTGTGTCTGTCTGCACCTGGGCTGGGGGGGCCACAGCCTGCACAGAGCTGAGGGAACAAAACAACAGTAAGAGCTTAGCTGAGACGAGATATTTAAAGGGGGGAAACATGGCCGGTGGGAGCTCTCTGGAAGCCGTGAAGAAGAAAATCAAGTCGCTGCAGGAGCAGGCCGATGCGGCGGAGGAGCAGGCGGCGTCCTTCCAGCGGGAACTGAACCAGGAGAGGAGTGCGAGGGAAGCAGTAAGCTGCTCATGATTTAAGGCAATTAGTCTCTTGGCTGCGGGAGGCATTAGGTGCAAATCTGGTCCAAAAAGCGTGGCTGCTATAGGGTTTTTTATTTTAAACAGACACGAGTTGTGGTGGTGGATGTGAGGGCAGGAGGAGGATGGAGGGGGCTGGAAGGACACCACCCTGATTGAACAGCTAGAAAACACAATGCAGGCGACATGTTAGAGCAGGGTGTCTGAGCTGAAGCCCCTCACCGGCTAGTTTGACTGTCAGGAGGTGACTTTATCCTCCAGCTAAGCCGCATTTTCTTGTTCATTCATTTAATGGATAAAATGTGAGCCATCATATCGAAATGAGGATTAAGTCGAATTTGGACCTAATTACATTTTCAGATTCTTGGCTTTAAAAGCTACATTTTGATACCTGAATCATTCTGATATCTTAATTAAATCCATATATATGACTTAATTTGTCTTGTTGGTTACAATAATACATAAATATTTGGTCTGAATCCTAATTTTATGTCATTTTAATGAGGACTTTTTGATATCCTTATAAAGAGGAAACCTCAAACTATATTTGAATATTAAGATTTCCCAGCTAAAAAGAAATAAAACTTTGCTAGCTCACATGGGAAATCTCAAAATTTTAAGGTTTTTCCTCAAAATCAGTTTTTTTGTTGCTACTGCTTAAAAAAGTGCTTCAGAATTTTGTTTCATGATTATATTTCAGGCAGTTCATTCAAATGATACATTGATAAGGCTTTTATCCATTATATTTTGACAAAATGCAATTTTTGTTTACATTTTAGTCAAAACACTATATTTGCCTTTTTTTCCCTTTATACCACTTTTGGACTTAATCCTCATTTCAATGCGATGGGTCACGAATAGTTAAATCATGGATGCAGACGCAAAGAGGAGGATGAGAGTTTGGATAAAAGTGCCACACGTTCTTAATGATTTCTGTGTTAAATGAGTCTTAACGCGCACGACTAGTTCCTGAGCTTTCAGACCATTAAAGGAGCTTGTTTTCCCTCCATGCTATCCAAATCAGCTTGATTTGACTCTGTCATTGTGCTCTCCCAGGCCGAGGGTGACGTAGCCTCCCTGAACAGACGTATCCAGCTGGTTGAGGAGGAGCTGGACCGGGCTCAGGAGCGTCTGGCCACGGCTCTGTCCAAGCTGGAGGAGGCTGAGAAGGCTGCTGATGAGAGCGAGAGGTGTGTGTGTGTGGGGGGGGGGATCTTTCACCTGTTCAACCCATCATCACAATCCATATCAGGGTGCACAAACATTTTCCCTGAGAGGGCCAAAATTAAAAAACATTTTCCCTGAGAGGGCCAAAATTAAAATCAATCTGAGGGCCGTGGGACAAATGCACTAATATAAGAAATGCAAATACTTAAGTAAAGTTGTTTTATTTTTTATGATTAAGCTAGCAGCCAGTGTGGTTGCCCACATTCTTTAGTTTTTTTCAGCCCATGGACATGGAGAAAATTTTACATATGCTCGGGCAGCAAAGGCTCATGGGACTTTTCATAATTTAAAATTTGAGTATATGTGGTCTTATAAGGTGTGCAAATCCATATATGGGCTTAAATTTAATCTAAATGTCTCTTGTAGTTACTTGTATTTTATATTTAATCTTAATATAATTACAATCTAACCAGGACAACTACTGGTGGGCCAAATCAAAAGGCGCAGCAGGCCAATTGTGGCCCACGGGCCCCACTTTGGGCGCCTCTGCTCCATATACTCCCTCCTGCACGTACACCCAAATGCATGGGATATACATCAAATATTTGGGTTTTGGCTGACCGATTTAACCGTTTTGAGTTTTGAAACTTCGTTCAAGTAAACGTGTCTATCGGCTGTATTTGTGCACGCTATTATCAAAGAAAAATGAAGCTGCCAACATCGTGCAAAATACAAATTTTTAGCTGTTAAATACATTTTGTTTTGTACATGGAGTCTCTAAAGCATGCAAAAAAGTTGACTTAAGTCACTAAAGCAGTGTTTCCCAAAGTTGGGGTCGGGACCCAAGTGGGGTCCCAAAACTTCAAGATGGGGTCCTGAAAATATTTTCTGAATTAATTACATTTTTGCCTTATTTGTTACAAATGAGTGAGGTTAGTGTATTTAAAATGGATAAATGTAGTAAAAAAATATTGTTACTATGCCCATGTTTTGTTGACCTGATACAAATGTTTATCATCCAAAAAATAGTTGGGGGCACAGGTCTCTGCTACTGTTATTTTGTGGGTCAAAAGCTGAAAAGTTTGGGAACCACTGCACTTTGGTTCCCAAAGTTGGGCTTGGGACCCAATTATGGGTCATGAAGCACCTTGGATAATCTCCAGAAATCAATTTAAAGGGTAATAAAATAATTGCTGATGTAATATTTTCCCTTTAATTATTACAAAAACACAAAATAAGTAAAAATAAGTATTCATATTTGTGTACAAGCTGTTTAGATTGTCAAAAAAACCTGTGTTTTTAGGGTTATTAATGAAGTTCATGTACTCAGACCAGTAATTTTTGGGGTCACAAGTTTTTGCCATGGATATTTTGTGAATCAGAAGATAAAAGGTTTGGGAACCACTGCTCTAAAGGAACAGCATCAAAATGAGTTGATCTGAGACACACCTCAGAAAAGGGAGAAAAAATAATGCTCTTCATGTAAGCTTATTTAAGAGGTCGCTGGCAAATGTTTGGATGGTTTATCTGTGTTGAATTTGACGTCAAGAGTTTTTTCAAAGTTTGTTAAAATAACACAACAGCAGCCCAACTTAACGAGGTCTTTGCGTAATCTGTTCACAGCGGTGTGGGTAGAAAATGTCAGCCGATGATAACTGTCAACATCCCTGGATTAAAGCCGTACTTCCCTAAGCTGCAGTTGTTCGATTTTCATAAAATCCTAAATTTTATATATTGAGGATGCAGATAAGATGGCAAATTGTACTTTCTGGAGTTTTCAATGGAAACTAAATCTAAAATTTGTGTCAAGTTGACAAATATGGCATATTGTCACCCATGGCTCGGTGATTTAACCTTTTGTGTGGGCAAGTATTCAGTTTATTGGATTAAAAGCCTTTTTAATCTGATTAAAATGCACTACTAACACAACGGAAACTGTTTTGTGCAACATGTTTGTTGAACAAGCTCCTGGCTGGGCTCTTCTCATCTGTACAAGAAAAAAACCAACAAACCTGCCTGAGCTCACCGTTCTGTTTCCCCTTGCTTCAGAGGCATGAAAGTCATCGAGAACAGAGCGATGAAGGACGAGGAGAAGATGGAGCTACAGGAGATCCAGCTGAAAGAGGCCAAACACATCGCCGAGGAGGCCGACCGCAAATATGAGGAGGCAAGTCACGGCCGCCGCCGCTGACCGAGGACAGGGTTCAGCTCTGTTCGCCCGTTTGACCCGAGAACTTAAACTCTGTGTGACTTCAGGTGGCCCGTAAGCTGGTGATCATCGAGAGCGACCTGGAGCGTACAGAGGAGCGTGCCGAGCTGTCTGAGAGGTAACCCCCCCCACCCATCGCACATTTATGATGAGAACCTAAAATCCTGTGGTTTTGAAAGAAAATATTGCTATGCGTGTTCGTTACCAGGATGTGTGCTTAAAGTGTATCTTACCCCCCCTGTGAAAAGTTAACTCCGCCCCATGGCGAAATTTGAAAAATGCATCAAAATGGGTAGGGGAGGGGGGGTTAGAGAGCGGAGGTGTGGCCAGGACGAGAGAACGCGACAGGCAGCTAGCATTAGCATAACTGATGCTACATGGAGAGTGACCACAGTATCGCAGATAGTTACATCTCTAAACGGTCTGAAGTGGAGGATTTTTGACCCCCCTCCTCACCAGAGGCAGAGAGAGACTTGATCAAGTCAGCTCAGTCTGGGACTGACTCATGTTGGCTCAGTTGATCAGGACCTGGAGCTCCAGCAGCCTTGGCTGAGCTGTCCGCCTCACCCCACACCAGCCTCGGACAGAGGAGGTGGAGCGCTCCGCTACAGCCTGACAGAGAAAAATAAAAGCATGCAGCTGCTCACAAGATCACTAGTTTAAAACATGAATAAAAGTGTTGGGTCTTGTTTGACTGAAGTTCGGTCCGCTTCGGCTACAGCTGCCCCGCTGTGTTTCTGCCTTTTTTTCCCCCCTCCCACTGGGGAAGGGGGGGAGGGCAGCTGTTAGCTCTCCCCACCCGAGGCTGAAGGTCAACAGACGATCATGCTAAGCTTGCTAACTGTTCCACCCTCTGACTGCTGCAGGGGCGTGTCTTAGAGAGAGGCTTTTATACCAGAACACAGCCGCTGTGACGAAACCGTGGAGAAGACACGTCACAGAGGAGAGCCGTAAACCAAAATGCAAATTAGCCTGCAGTACCACTGCTCTACCCATATGAGCAGCAAAAACATGTTTTTAGACCATGTAGTACAGATTTGAACAAATACGCACAAAAACATCAAAATTAGCACAGAAACAGTACTATACAACATTTTAGAAACATTCTAGACAGTTTATCAGCTAAAAAAGTTAATTTTGGTGTAAGTTACTCTTTAAAACATAAGGAGAATGTACAAATGCATGGAAAAGATTATTAAAGAGAAACCATACAAAACCAAAGAGTGCTCTCTGCTGAAGTCTGGTTTAATCAAGTGACCAAGAGTTCAGACCGAAAAGGAGTGAAGTGCAGATCGAAACTGAAATATTGATACTACCGATATCAGAACTTTATGTTCTATAATCGATACTGAAATCAAAATATCGATACTTTGATACTTTAGTTATTTCACATAATATATATCATTAACAGGAAAATAGTGGGGAAAAACTAAACTATTCCACACTTGTCTTGATCACATGTGGTTGGAGGGAACTACTTTTTCTTCCGCTTAAGAAATGCAAAAGCCATAAATCAGTCACTCCATCTGTAGAGGTATGGCAGGTCATTTTAACATAAAATCTGCTTTGTTTGACTGTTGTTACATATTAGATGAGGGGTTCCCAAATTTTTTCATGCCATGACCACCCCCCCCCCCACCCCCAAACAGCATTAGCTCTGGCCAAGGACCTTCTTGCAAACCCACAAATCATGACACAAAATAACAACGTAACAACTTTTAGAATGTTTTTCTCACTTTTATTCACTATTCGAAAATTATTATATTTCTTTAGAATAAGAATTTTAAATTGTGCTAAACGAATATAAGGTCAGGGCTAGAAAGACTTAATTAAATAAATTACTATGTCATGTATTATTTATAAAGCGGTTATTTGAAAAATGCTCGTTTTTAAGATTTACCAGACACATTATGTGTGTTATCACAAAGTTTCAGTATCGGATCAGTATCGCCGATACCAGACAAATTTTATTTAGTATCAGTATCGGGGAAAAAAAAATTGGCATTATCGAACATCACTAACCGAAAGTAAGGAAGTACAATTGGTTTTAACAAAAGCTCCAAGGCGTGGCTCCACCTATTTGATTACGTCATCAGTGAGGGGTCCCTACGCTGCTCAAAGCCACGCCCCCAGACATAATAATCTAGCCTAATGCTTTTAAAAGTTCAGATGTGTTGAATTTGTTTTCAGGCACGTAACTATTAACAAAAAGTCATCAATTTAAGCAAACAGTCACATTTAACAATCATTACAATTCTATCATAAAACTATAACGTGTATGTAATTTAAATCAGTTATATAAACCTAAAGCCCAGTAATGTCTTCAGTTTTATTCAACTGAACTGTAACTCTGCAGCAAATGTTCTGAGCTTGAGGAGGAGCTGAAAACCGTACAGAACAACCTGAAGTCTCTGGAGGCTCAGGCAGAAAAGGTATCAAATAGTTTTATTATAAGTCAAAGCATTGTATTGGATATGTGACTAACTCTGATCATTGTGTGGGACAACAGTACTCACAGAAGGAGGACAAGTACGAGGAGGAGATCAAGGTTCTTACAGACAAGCTGAAAGAGGTGAGTGAAACCTTTTATCCATTCAGTATTTAATGTTTCTGCCTCTCTGCTTTAACTATGCTGACAATAGATTTTTACTTGAAGCTCTGTTTTTGCCTGTAGGGGCTGAGGTTAGTAATGTAAACCACCTAATAGCTAATGGACAATGTTCCTCCTTTCAGGCTGAGACTCGCGCTGAATTTGCAGAGAGATCCGTCGCCAAGCTTGAGAAGACGATTGACGACCTGGAGGGTATGAGTCTTTTCCGCTTACTTTCTAGTTCCTGTCACGGTTGAGTTCCATTGCTTGGCCCATAATTAGGGCGTCCTCGCCGAGTCTTCCTCTGAAATTCATATTATTTCTCAGGCTGGCGTTAATAGAAAAGGGTTGTTAAACTGGTCCGCTGGATGTGAAATAGTTCTCAGGAGAAGTCTCTGCAGGCTCGATTGTCTGCTGAGGGGACGAAACGAAGCGGGCGACGCGTGAGATTATTCATGTTCAGCTCTCGCCACATTGCAGTTGTGTCACCGTTCAAGGCCGTGCTGTCCGCCGCAGACTTGTGGAACATGTGAGGAAGGTTTTCTGTGACTCCTCGGGAATCTATCGCCTCGTCAGCAGCTGTTCTTACACCCTCCTTGATTCTGTCCTGCTTTTATTTGCTGCCGCCCCCTGTTTGTTTTCCTTTTGATATATGTTTTCTGACATTTATTTCTTCTTCTTGTTTTTTTTTTAAATCATTTTCTGCCACTTAATATTAACTGCGACGCAATAGATGAGCTGTATGCCCAGAAACTGAAGTACAAGGCCATCAGCGAGGAGCTGGACCACGCCCTCAACGACATGACTTCCATGTAATTCACAACACGCCTGCCTCTTGTTTTGTGCCGTAGATCCCATCAGCCCTAACTGCTCTCACTAGCTCCCTCTTGTGGCATGTTTGAGTGCAGTGATTTTTATTTTAAAATGCTCCTGAACTCCAGTAACTCAGATATACAGAGCCCAACTGGTTACATTGGATTAAAAAAGATTAATGTGTGGCCACGGGGTGATTGTTGCAGTAATTTCCATGCAGAGACTTGACTGTTAATGTGGGCGAGTTTGAATTCATTTTATTTTAATATTGGAGAATAACGCACTTCAGTCACTTAGTTAGGCATGAAGTAGTTCTCATGTTGCAGCTGTAGGACAGGTGATGACTGGAGTTTTATTTGTTAAAAAAGCTTTATTTCATTTGAAGCTCAACACACTAAACTGCTCCTTTCTTACACTGCGCCTTTGCTTAGGAAAGAGTCGCTTATGCCACGTTCAGGAACACCGTAAAAAATGTTTTTTTAACACACAATGTTCAATGTCTTATAAATACTAGTACTATTTATATATAAAAAAAATTTCGATTGACCATGGAGGTATACTCTTGGATTAAATTTATTAATATTATTAATAAATTAAGTGTTAAAATTTTAAACCGTTAAGCTAGGGCTGTGAAATTAATCGAGTGAACTCTGATTAATTTTAGTGCTGCATGGGCATAAATTAAAAATTTTTAATCGTGATTAAAATGTACAATCGCTTTACTCTGGCTGAATATGTAGGTTTGTATATTACAATGCACTCAGTGCATGCCAGGTCATGTTTGTAAATGAGAAGTGGTTCTCAAACAGTTTACCTGGATAAATAAAGGTTAAATAAATAAAAATAAAAAACTCCATGTGTAACACATTATGTACAGTTTTTTTGTCGTCTTATGGCTTATTTTATTTTACTTATTTATGTTTTGCTGACAGCTGTGACCTTAGTATCTATCTTTCATTCCTCATGTCGTACTCGTTTGGAATGAAAATCCTTGAATTCTTGATTTAATCTCATTATTCTGCACAAAATTTAACTGATAAATATGTTTGGGGCATTTTTTAGGTCCTAATTTTTGTTGTTTTTGTGCAATCGAGGTGATATTTTCATGATTTATTATTGTATGTATTTCTTAAGCACCAAATCTTTTTCAAAATAAAGACATTAATTAATAACTCAATTAATTTTACCAATATGCAATAAAGTTTTATTAAGTTTAAGATTAATCATGATTAATCGTCATTAATTTGCAGCTACCTTGGAATTAATAGATTAAAAATTGTAATCATTTGACAGCCCTAAGTTAAACACAAACAACAATTTCTGTATCTCACAAAGAGACATGGCAGCTCAAAATCATCTTGTGGCCATTTATTATTAATTTTTTATGTTTAAATTTTTTTTATTCAGTGTCACTGGACAGGCTCTGTACAGATGTGTGGCTACTGGCTAGACCAATTTTTTTTTCTTTTAACATTTTAGATTACAGCTGTAGTTGAATTTATAACGACTAAATTACCAGTTTTATAGCATTTTCCTTAACATGCACCACAATCAAATTTTTATCCTTTTTAACCTGTTCTTTTTTTCATTTTTAAGTTTTTCATTTGCCTTTTTCCCCTCTCCCTCAACCCCCTTTTTAATTGTTTTCTGTTTTCACAGCTAAATGTTTTTACTCAGCCCCGCCCCCCCAGAAGCTGGTTGAGCCTCTTCTTTCTCATCACCACCATCCTTTCTGTCCTGCGCAGCTCTGCCCAACTTCCTGTACATGTTTTTGTCTCAGTGTTTTACTGCCGAGCTGCTCGCTGCACACCGGGCTGTCGCTGCCACCGTCCACTGTTCCATCTCTCCCACAGACTTCTGAGCCATATCTGCTTTCTGTAAAATAAACACTCTTCCACTGAAGTCTGCCCTCCACCCCTCACGTGTTTCTCTTGCCACGCTTCTTCATTTCCATTTGTCTTATCTTTTTATTTTTGATCTGTCTTCTACGTGTTAAATTTATTTTGCTGAGTAGCTTTTGAATAAAAGTCTTTAGCTCCTCTCCCATTTACCGCTCCTTTCTCTATTTGAGAGGACCGCCTTATTGCAGGTTATCATAAACGTGATGACGGTTGATGCTGTGATAATGAAGCAGTCAAACAGACTTTGAACAGATTTACCTTCACTTGAAATTCAGAATAAACTGACCTGAACTTGTCTTCAAAATCCCTAGTTTGTTTAATTAGATCAAAATATAGAAATGTGAAACCTAAATACTATAAGTCATTACAGACACCGCCCCCCCCTGCAAAAAATAAAATAAAATAAAAAATAGAGAAAATAGAAATATATAATAAATAAAACTTCTGGTTTTTATTTGTCGCAAAGTAGAATTTCAGGCAGATAACCCAGCATTACTGATAACAATAGTGATGAAAATTAAAAAGGGATTATCCTCGGGGAACAAAGCGTATTGTTGTTGCCTTTCATGCTGAAGTTCTAAAGATTTTACTCAGTTTGTGCTCGGAATTTGTGTTGAGAAGAACTCTGCTATACTACCACACCTGATTTTCACTTTGTCTTTGTTTTCTATGATAGCTGTGATAACCATCTTGAATTGGTTTGAATCCAAAAGTTATTCAGCTGTAAATTTACATCCAATCAACTATTTTCAAGATTTTTAATCAAATCCATCGAATGGTTCACAAGATATTTTACTGACACACTGATGAATACATGCTCACACACATTTCATTAACATACTGATTAATCAGCTGATGTTGGGCACTTGTCTAAAGGTATGCCAGTATATAATCTGTTACAAAATAAAATGAAGTTGCTACAATCAGTGCACCGTAGCCCTTGAGGACATTTATTTATTTTTTGTGAAAATTTTCATTCAACCGTTGTTAAATTTTATTTATTGAAGTTAAGGGAATATTTTTTTTGTTAAATAAAATACATATTACCCCTTCCCACCACCCTTTTTTTTACAAATTACAATCAGCCATAGACAAACTCCTGTCAGTTTACATCACGTGTTAAACACAAGGCCCGCGGGCCAAATGCGACTCCTGTGTGGCCCGCCAGGGGTGGGTCCCCTCCTAAAAAAACATTTTTTCTTTTTTACTTAACATAAAATTTGATTCTTATATCAATGGTAAACTTTAAATTTATGGTTAAATATAACAAAATTAATTTAATAAAAATAAATGAAATAAAAATAAATTTAAAAAATTCCTGTCCCTGAGCTGTTGGCTTGAAGTAACTGAGCAGTTTAGTTGGATAGCACAGTACTAATGTCTGAAAATAAGCTGCTTTAAAGTCACCATCAAACATAAACTAAAGCTGCCATAATGCAGCTACTCACTAGTAACTCATTGAGTAAAATGTTATTTGTTTTACTTTTAATAATATTTCTGTATTTATTACAGATTTAGTCAGTCATACACTTAGTTCTTATCGGTGTTTAAACGAGGTCATGTTAAAACTGTTTAGTCAAAGTTCATTACAAGTGGCCCTTTGAGGGCCACCATAACGCTCATGTGGCCCTTGGTGAAAATGAGTTTGACACCTCTGGTTTACATCTACTTTTCATGCCAGTGGATGAAAATGCAAAACCTAAATACGTTAAGTTGCATTTTCCAAAAGAAGACCAAAGTGTCAAAAGAAGTTTATAAATATTTTTGATGCAATATCTTTAGGTTTTCTCATTTTAAAATTTAGTGTTGCCGCTATTTAGCATTAGGTTTGTATAAACCTTTGTATTATTAGGCTGAGAAATAAACTATGAACATGACAAAGGTCCTAATGAGAGAGTTGATGATGCGTGGGACATCTGTGGAAAAGCTGAACAATACCTCTTCATGTCTGCAACTAACAGACTCTGTTTACCTCCAATATTAACACTTTGTCCGTTTTTTGTACTAACTTACCTTCTTTCTTTTTCCCTTTCTCTCTTCTTCCTGCTTTCTGACTGTCCAGACCATCTATACAAGCAGCTTGAGAAAAACCGTCTTCTGACCAATGAACTGAGAGTAGCCTTAAACGAGGCGTAAGCTGGAATCGCTTCACTTTCAGTTTCCTGACACTTCAGAGTGTAGACGATAGTGTCCACTCCACAAAAACAGCTGCAAGATTTTCAATCATATGTACTCTTAAAACTGCACTTGGATGTGGGATGTAAGCGCACCTCTGTTTAGGGGAAAAAACTGCAAAGAACTGAAGTGATTTTTCAGGACTCATGAACGCTGTGCACAAGGCTCACACACCTGGAGGTGGTTTCTAATAGTCCATTATGCTTTTTGTTGCTCTCTACACAAGATTATTTAACAAAGGTGAACCATAATCTGAGAATATGTTGAATATTTAGTGTTCGATTCCACTTGGACCAAAAGTAGAGGTTATTCTGATTGTATTGCAGGTTTGACTTGCTCTGCCTTATTACGATTGGAGTGAACTCCTAACATGTAGCATGTCAACATGGAGTCAAACTTTAGTGCTCCAACCCTTTTGGTTGCATTACTGACATTTGGTTCAAACCTTTTTGTTCAGTCTGCCCCCAAATGTTTGGAAAAGCCTGGAGTGTCGAACAGGTTTACATCAGGCTTAGAAGTTGCTCAGGAGAAGATGTGATTTAGCATGTAGCAGCATGAACTTGGTGCTAAACATTACAACTAACCAACTTCCTTGTTTACAAGGTTCCACCTCACTATGACACTGTAGATTCTGTAAGGGAACTATCATTAGTATCCATTTTACTTGGATATAAGAATAAAAGGTTCAATTCAGTTTTTTTCTATTCAAAAAATGTATTCTTTTCATTAAAAAATAACTACATACAATAAAAAACAGAAAAAAATACACCTGCTGCTATGCAGGTGTTAGGATTTATGTCTATTGTTTTCAAAGGGGAAAAAAATTGTGTAATTATTATTTGTTTTGGTTTGTTTTACCACAGTGTAATTTTGGAAATTTTCTCATCTTACTAACATTTTAAAAATAAAAATAAATGATCAGGATTAATTTCAAGACATGCAGCTGGTTAATGAGATTTTATTCATTGGTTGAAAAAAAACAGGTCAAATTTCTGTAATGTATGACAGATTTGTTCCAATATCAGCACGTCTTTAACTGTTCTAATGCTATATCGACAGATAAACTCACAAGTACTAACGCAGAGGGCGCGAGATTACAGCAGATGATGGATAAGACACTTTTGGAGATGGTTGATCTTTGACCCAGCTCTATTTCCCCCCCAACTCCTGCGCCTGACTGCACACGGTCCAGACAGACTCCCACAGAAGGCTGCTACAGTTAAGACTGGAGTGTGTGCACGTGTCCCTCTGGTGTTGACCACATGAAGAGACAGAAGTCGTACGTAAAGTAGCAGACAAAGCTCTGAGCTAAACTTCAGCTTCAGTGTTTCAATTGGCACGCTGCAGTCAAAGGTCAGTTTAAATTCAGTCATGTACATGCTGGGACTTTGCACTTTTTGGTGGGAAAACAGACAGTCTGTGATCATTCTGAAGGAAGCCATATTTAAAGCCAAGGTTATATGAAAGGAATTTTTATTGCCTGTACTTTTGTAAGGTCACTTGTTTCCTAAAACACATTCGGTGCCAGTCAGCTTTTTCCTTCTACAGTAGCAACAGTTTTTTTCCACACTAATTGTATTGTCTGCTAAGCACATTAAACATGTCTGTTATGTTTCCAAAAGGATGCTTTTTCTTGTAAAGATTGAATTGCTTTTTTTGTCTCCCATTTTATCTTGGAAATGTGCAACTCACGAATAAATGGTCAAATCAAGTTGTTTAATCTGTTTTCTTTAGTACAGTTTGTACACCCTGAAATCGTTCTATTAGAAGTACAAAATAATTTTATAACAAATGTCAGATAATCCTCATCTTGTTGAAATTCAACGATTGTGTGGTAGCATTCAACTAACTTGTTACCACTGCAATTTTGTTATGTTCTAGCAACGTAATGACAAATCTTATGTCTTAACAAAAAAATCAAAAAAAAATTGTATAGGTCTTCTGGACGGGTTCTTCTCTAATGAAACGTTTCGTCTCTCCTCCAAGAGACTTCTTCAGTCTGAGAGTTTCAGGC